CTTTGAAAATAATATTTTATGATTGTTGAACTTATAAGTGTATCTAAATATTTTAATTAATAAATAAATAATATTTTTTGGATGAGAAATTTTTTTGATAACTGTCAACTGATAATACATATTATTATATCGGATAAATCGGATTACTGATTAGTGATTGCTCTATGATACGCAAAGATGGAACATTTGGCCAGAGGACTGGGTGACGTAGTCGTGCCAAACGAATGATGGAACGGAACGTCACCTGTCGAAATGGTTACCTAAATGGTGACGATGGGTGATTTCGTCATTGTGATAAACTGATAACTTATCTGATACTCATCTATGAAATAATTAATTATGATATTTATGAAAATGTGTTGTGTCTGTTCGACTGTTCCATTYCGTTCGCCTGTTCGCCATACAATCGTTATTCGTACACTTGCGACTTGCAACTGATTTAACATCCCGTTAAAAATGTTTATAATTGGTGGGGGTGGTTTACTCCTCTTAATATCGCCCCCCCCTAGGTGAAGGCTCAAATACGCCACTGACATATGGACAGCAAAAAAATGATAGGTCCAACCCAAGAGCTGGTGCTCAAACAGACATTTTAAGATTTACTATGGACAKTTTTGCTTATAGATGGTAACCATTAGTTTCAATAATAATAGTAATAAGTGCTAAAAAAACTATTATTATTCCTGAATTTGTTATTATTTGTTTCCATTTCATTTGCGTTTATGGCGTTAAAAGATTTTATTTATATTTTGTGTTTTTTGTTAGTTTTTTTGTTATAATAACGCTATTTCTATGCACTCAGTATGCAGTTATGTCTCCAAAAATAAGATCAATTGGTAGTTCGAATAAGAAATTAGTAATTTGTTATTAGATACCAATTTTAAAAATTGTTTCACCTTTACAAAGCTAAAAATGGGAGAAATTATTATGCTTGAATATAGTTTTAGTCCCGTATTGTATATGACTGTGTTACAAATCTTTAAAGGAAATTAAGCTATGGTGAATCCATRGGAATTCATCACGAGAAGTTTTGAACATGATTAGCCGGGTATTAAACAACGAATTTAACATAAATTTTGAATCATATAGATTTAGAATTGTTAACGGGAAACGAAGTGYACGAAGATCAACTAGTATTTTAAAAGCCTAGGTACGGATAGGTGCAAAACTATTCAACATAACTACCTATATTAGACACTTTATTTTATTTTATAAAAATATACTTCGCTCTTTCGGTTAAATAAATTTGAATCCACCCCGATTTTGACAGTAGTATATATTTAACTACGCATGTATGTAACCAGGCGCGGATCCAAGGGGGTGACGGGGGAGGGGGGTGAAGTAGTGACTAGTGTGTCAGTGTGTGTGTTACTATGTTAGGTATAGCTAAATTGCGTTCCATCATCGATCGCCGTCAATAATAAACTATAAACAATTTCCRAAGTACCAATACATATTATAATGGTTATTTCTTATAATAATATCATGAAAATAAAATATGATTAATAAATCAATAACAACGTGTATATACGTATATTGTAATTGTATAGCTTGAACTTTATCTGTTACCGAGTAGATTGTTGTCGTCGATAACTAATTATAAATCAATATAATTATCTGTATGACTTTCCGTCGTCGACCATTATATTGCCTCTGGGGGAAAAAAAACTTTAAAAACATTATAAAGATAAAGATAATATAATATATAAACGATTAACTGGATTAGCACTTATGTATATCCATAAAGACATTAATATTGACAATGAAAATAACATAGAAAATATAATAAATAGATTTTCTTAAGAAAAAAAAAGAAAAATCGATTTTGTGTTATAAAAATACTTAATTATTAATAAAAAAAACGATTGTTTTGTAGACTATTGTTGTTTATTTTTCTTAGTATACCTTATATTTCAAGTACTTAAAAATAATTACTTGAAAATTTTTTTTGATTCAATTTTTTTATTTTATAAAATTAATATAAATTCCTGAAGGCTAAGGGCCAACATAATATTGTTGTTGCTTTTACGTATTATGTTACAATGCAGGCAGCTTAGTCGTAAGTATAAATACAATTTTGCGCCCCCTCCGTAAAACATTCCTGGATCCGCCCCTGTATGTAACATACTGTAAGTGAATATGAATTTATATTTTACACCAATCATATTTTTCGAAATATTTTGATTTGTCTCAAGAGCTCAAGAACTTTTTGCAGACATTTTCAGTTTCCAATTGTTGTGGTTTTTTTTCTATAATTATTTGTCGGGTAAAAATTCTTAAAAATTTAATAGAAGGCTCCTAATATATTGTTTCAAAGGCAGATGAAAAATATTAAAAATCAGTAATCACAATTTTTTTATAACCATTTAATGTTCAAATTTAGAAAAAAAATTGATTAAAATCTCGAAAATTATCAATCTTTGTAATTAACAAAATTATAAAATGCTCAGTTTTTATAATTATGAATTGAAAATTTAAAACAAAAATTCTCATAAATAGTTCATACCGTAACCAAAAAATCTAAAAAATATAAAATCAAAATTATTTTTTACAGACAATTTTAACAATACAACTAATATTTGACATTTGCTGTATAAAAATATATCTTAATTATTATAACATGGTATTTAAWTTACTTTAATTTGTTTTTTCATTGATTTTTAAATATAATATAGATAATAGTAATAGTAATAGCTGTAATAGTAAAAAATAACTTATCGCTTATAGTCAATGGAAGAGTGCGGCACAATTAAATAATTTTAAAATAATTAAAATTTAAATGATCAGTATATCGATGCATGAAAATTAGTTAAGCGATTAAAAAAAAAATATTTTTAAATTCTTTTCCGTTTTGGCATAAATGTATTTGTAAAACAGTAGCTGTTTGAAAATTGACCTTTTTGTAAAACGGGAGACAAATCAGCTGTAACCTAACCTAACTGATCTGCAATCGAAATAACAAATCGGCCATTAGATTAATGGGGTGGAACTAAGTAGTTACACACAAAAGCCGCCGCCTCGCCGTCACCAGAGGTGGCCGTTGGGGACGGCAAATTATATAATATAATATTAGTACACACACATTAACAGACGCGTGCGAGCACACAATGAATACATCACCCCCCGGAGCGTATACTTATAATACATATGGTTCACTATATTACAGGGGTGGTGAATAATATACTATACTAGTACGCACACATAAATAGACGCGTGCGAGCACACAATGAAAACATCATCCCCCGGAGCGTATCTATAATACATAAATAAGATAGTCTTAGTTAAGTTTCCAAGCCATTTAACTGACAGATTGCAGCCATTGGATTAGTATGTTTTCGGACYTCTGAAAACAGAGTGGAATAGCTGTTGATTAGGTTTGTCAAACAACAGTCAACAAATTGGTAAAGGTATAGGTAGGCTTACAAAAGGCAAGTTTTCAGAAATACCTGGAACATTATGGTCAAATTCAATGAAATGTGAAAACCTAAAATCTGGATTTATTTCTACAGGTTTATTTCCAATTGATAAATCTAAATTTCCAGAAAGTTATTTTGACCCAATAGATCYCGAACATTATTTGTAGAATTAAGAACATAGATCAAACATAAATTCAGAACTACTACCGCAAGTTAAAAAATTTGAATTCTCAATCGACTTCTTTCAGTAAAATTCTTACTAATCAATTAACATCATATGTTCAAAATCAACAAGATATCGACAGCATAATAAATACATCAAATGAACTCATTACATATAACATAGATCAACAACCTACTTTGGATAATTTGAGTAATAAAATATAGTGAGCCTATTTTCCAACCAACTTAATAAGTTGAAAGAAAAACCATTGAATTTGTCCCAAATAAAGAACCAGTTCCAAAATTGAAATTAGCCACCTATGGAGAAGTGCTAACAACTTTAGAAGTTTTAGAAAGGTTAGAAGAAGTACAATCTAAAAAATATGAAATGGCAGAACAACCAGAAACCAGAAATGGCAACAACAAAATACATATTAGTAAGAAGAAAAATGCTTTTCATCAGACTTACATGATGTGAATGATACTCCATTTGATATTGATGCAGAAGAAGTTGAGTATCAACAACCACAATGGTCACTTGTCCTTCCAAGCACATTTATTTTAGTTGATTTTGTAGGAGGCATCCGTAAAAAGCAACATTTTAAATATGTTTGTGTAGTTGAAAGTGTTGATGACGAAAATGAAGAAATTATAACAAAAGGATTATAAAAAGAAAAATATGCTGGTGATGAGTTCTCGCGCAATGAATGAAAATGACGTGACAACTATTGATTTAGAAATGATAATAGTAATATTGCCAGTTCCACACATGATAATGAAAGGTTARAAATGATATACAAATTTCCTGGTTATGTTACAGTTAATGAAAAASAGTGATAACTACATAAGTGCAATTTAAATTTATTTGAAAGACTTTTATCTATTATTTATTATTTTAGGTTTATACTTAAGGGGCCGTCCCTTAACTTACTTTACTAATACTGTAAAAGACTGCAATTTTAATATTACACTTAAGTATAAGATATTTTGTTTTAAAGATACCTATAGATATTTATTGTTTTGTTCAGAAACGTTATTTTAGTAGCTCCATACCTACTTAACTTGTTTAACTACASAATTACCTATGTATTATTTATTATGTATTATGGCTAGTCATAAGATACCTATGCAAAAGACTGAAATTTCAATTGGTATAAGAAATGTTTATTGTTAAATATTTTTTATAAAATGATAAACCTAACCTATGTAACTTTGATGTGTTACTAAAAATATTATATTTACTAATATACCTACAGTGATATACTGACAGTTTTATTCTATACCTAAATAAAAAATAAATCATTTAATTTTTAATTAAAGTTGTTTTTTAGAAATTTATAATTGTCCCATGCATTTTTCATTGAAAAGTTTTATTTGCCCCGGTCGAGCCTGAACTATTTGGGGCAAATGTAAATTTGTATGTATTAGATCTATCAAAACATCAAATAAAACCTATGAAAGATTGTTTTCATATACCCCAGATCCAGATTCTATTTCACTCATGTAATGTGAAATCATTGTTTACATATACCCCTAAAAAATAGGGCAAATGTAAATTTATGGGGCATATGTAAATCTATATTTTTTTCTAAAGTGATTTAATATTCTTGTCTTGTGTAGGAAATAATATAAGCCTAGGATATGTTTATAAAGGTTTTTGATGAGGAAGAAAATTTATTGTCACTTATAATTTAAAAATTCAAAAAAATGCAAAATTTATTTAAAATTACCCCATTTGACCCTATCATCTGTAAAACAAAGTRCTCAACGTATATATAGATGTATTATAATAAACATCAACTAATTATTATTATTTATATTATTACAATATTATTATAGTTTATGATTATGAAGTACTAATAATTTGATAYGAGGGTTACCGATCGGGGTCGTGGTGAAACGTGATTGCAAATATCAACTTTGGGTTGAGCTGGTCGTTCATGGAGTTTTTTTCTGATTTGTGTCATTCATCGACTGTCTAGAGTCCTGATCGGTCATTCCCTCTACGATAGCAAGAAATCCTAGTCAGCATATCCGTTTCGACATCACTCGCCTTGTGAAGAGTAATATATAAATATACGATGTTTAAGAGTGATGACGATAATCGTTACAAAATTATTTTGTTGATAAATTATGCTACCTACATAGGTAGCGAGCAATGTGCAAACAGTTCGGTCCCGAAGCCACAAGGAAAAAAAACTGATTTAAAATGTTTTACGTAGGCCATCAGCAATTGATGTAGTTACCTACTTATCGCTTATCAATTGTTTTTCCCAACCAAATAATTTGTTTGAGAACACACTAAACCACTTAGACCATATTAGTTAAATTATTTGACAAAATGCATGTTTTATAATTATCTTATCTACCTACAACTATAAATATACTTAGGCGCCATAAAGACGAATATATTCTTATCAGTTATCAGCCATCATGGTTTTAGTAAAGGCAACATATTTGTTTATATAGTACTAGGGTTCAAAAAAAAATTACAGTTGTCAGTGATTAATGACTACAGGGTGATTTTTTTATCAAACAACACACATTATTTCAAAAACTATTGATTTTTTTCAATTTTTTTTTATTTTCAAAATTTCAGATCCATCTTGTTCTAGAACTATATGTCTATATATTTTTTTWAATATTTTCACCCTTATATTTTATCAGGTAAATCATTATCAACTTTTGATTTTCAAATAACAACCTATACTTAAAATGTCATAAACTAAAAAGGCTATTTTTTCAATGAATTTTCACATTTAAATTTTCAATTTTCGTTAATCCGTTTACAAGATATAGCCTCCCAAAGTTGGGTGGTGTTTGTGTGTTATAGGTGTATGCTAGGTGGTATTACACACGAACACCATATAAGTGTTGTTTGATAAAAGTATCACCCTGTATATGTTTAATATTTATGCAACCGATGAACATTCGAAATCGAACTACATACCTACCGCATATACCAAACACATAAATTGGTTTTGAGTTAGATATATTTCTTTGATAAAAAAAATAAAAACAAACATTGTCGTCTTCGTGTCGGGCGTCGTATTCTATATAATAATATATAGTATAATAATGATATTTTCATAAATTTACCTCCTGCGTAGTAATGATCGACAATCAGATTTCAGAATTCATTACATTTAGTGCAAATAGGTATACGTCATTCGTGGTTTAATAGAATTAAAAGAAAAACATTACAATACTAAAACTTTTACAAAACAAAAAACTTTTTCTTAGAAATTACCACAATAATCTAATAGTCTGCTTTAATTGRCATTTCGGTTTCACGATGAAGTTCTTGAAACACATGAATCAAAATCGAAAATCTTGAAATCTTTTATAATAATTGTTTAATGCATAAGATTTCCTATAAAAATATTAACATAAATTATACTCGTTAATGTTTACATATTTTCTACTTGGATATCTTAGATAGGTACCTAGTTGTTTTAGTTTGTATTACCCTCTTATTTTTAAATAATAATATTATGAAACCACGAGTTGTAAGTTGTAGTAAGACAAAAGTATATACCTACCTATCTATTTACAGATTTTTGGAATGGGAATTGATTAAAATGCACTAAATTTACATGGTATGGATTTWAGGAAAAAGAAGAACATAAATAAATATGTATTAATTAGATTATCCAGAATTAGTGGAGAAGTGATCAATAGGTACAATGATTGTATTATTACGATTTTAGTCAACTTAACATTTTTKACACTCATATATCACGTAATCTGTATTATAAAAATATATTTACTAAATACAAAATTAGATGATAGATCAATGTATTCGTTTTAGGATTTCCATAGCRCGCCTTAAGAAAGGCCAATAACTTTTTACGAGTARWATAATAATGATGTGAAAAAGAGTATAAATAAGCACTAACAAATTCAAAACCAAATGGACTGATTTAAACATACAGTTCGTTATGGAGGAAAGGGGTGTTGGCATGTATTTACTCTTAATACAACGCCCTAATTAAGTTTAAGAATAACTCTGAAAGTAATTGAGTACTTATGTTGGATACATAATACAGAACATCAGTAGCAAACTACTTATAAGAATGATTAGTTTGGAATTTAAAAATTTTGAGTTAAGGTTGCCTTTTGGTTCCATTCTATCCTCCAAACTAATGATTCTTTTTAGTTCATTAAGAGTTCCACCACAAATCAGCACGCATTCACGTAACACAAATGAATGGCATAATCAATATTCAAAAATTCATAGGTGCAGTCTTTTCACTGGTACCTCCGCTAAAAATCGATTGCAGTTAATTTAGAGTTGAAACACAAACAATATTTGTATGCGTATGACAAATATTTTGACTAAGATATTTAGATTTTACATACGTTATTAGTTGATCACTGTTATGTATCACTATAATAATATAGTCCAGAAATAGTACGAAACTCTAGACAGTAAAATTTATTAGATACCTATATAGTATATAATATACATTTAAGGTAACATTTGTAATACGATGTTACCGAATGGCCAGTAAATATAGTTTTCAGACGCARAGTGGAATCGGTCAAAACAGAATCATCGATTGACCGTTAGGTGCGTACTTGAAACCCCTTCTTATATGAACTGTTGTCACTCTGTAGCTACCACCACCGAGGTTGCTTATAAAAGGGGCAAGGGCAGTAGTAGAATTTCTGTCTTCTGAGTTCTGACCATCAGTGTGCAACTACACCAGCCACCATGATTT